TTTTTTTTTTTCTTTTCTTTTTTTTTCCTCCTCAAAGCTCTTTCAAAGAAAGGACATTACTTAAAATGAGGAAAAAGTAATGCTCATTCTAACACAATGCACTGGTAACCAAGTCTGCTAAAATAAGGATTTGCACAGATATTTTAACATGCTGCTACCTGTAATCTACAGTTTGGAGAGCAGATATTCAGCATCAGATTGCTTGTTGTTTGCTGTTTTGTTTGTTGGGGAGTTTTTTCCCCCTCTCCAATTGCAGTCTTTGCTGTTTTGGTATAATATATAAAAAAACCTGTAATCTGCCCAGATGGAACATAAACATATTGCTGCTGTTGATGAGTATCATTAAGTACTAGAGAGCTCTATAATGATGCTATTGTCATATAAAAATATATATGTAGCTATTAAAATCTCTTAGCATTGATGACAAAGATCAGTTGATCATGGCTCAGTTCATTTTTTCATATTATATTAATCACACCAACTATTCTACAGGCTGAACTTCCAGTTATCATAAAGTACACCTGCAAAAACACATATCTCTTCTGTTTCATTTTTTTCCTTGAAACAAGCTCTGCTAAGATTCCCTCTAGCATACAAAGCAAATTTCAGCATTTCTTGCCAGTAGTAAGAGTTTAATATGGTGTGTGTTATTCACCTAGAAACCTTCCTTTTTCTGCTTTAGCAATTACGATTTCTGCCTTTTGCTGACTTGAATGAGTCCATTACAACTGCACAAAACAGAACCATACTGCTCATTTCTGTCAATCATTGCCTACACAATTCTAGAATTTCACCACAAATCTTTCAAATGTGCTAGATATTTAGTCTAAGATATTAGACATTTAGTGTAAGATCTCTCTATAAATAACAAGCAGCAGTCTCCAGCCTGCAATGACTGACTGTAACAAACAGAGGAAAAGAAATTGTCATACCGGTGAACTCCGCTGTTGCACATAATGATGTGACAAGCTCCAAGCCTGCTACAGAGTTCAGATGACACTGAAAGCAATCCAACTCCGGAAGCACTGCACGCAGTGTATGCACAGGCAGCAGTGCGCTTGGATCGGATGAAGGACCCTATGAGTCGGTAAAGTTCATCCAAGCAATTGAGAGGCCTCATCAGCTGCAAGACAGGAAAAGAGAGAGAGAGATTTAAATATTTGCTACTGAGAGCACATGAAATGTTCTTTTAGAGCAGGTCATCACAGACGCAGATGGAACAGCAGGGCTGGCTGAGAAAGCTGAAGCCAAACTCATTATAACATAAATACAGAGCACATACACTTCTGTTACATGACCTATGACAACTTTCTAAAACTTTTACATTCTTACTGTCACTGACTATTTCATTCCCAGTCCCACCTACAGAAGTGTTTTTCACTTCAGTAAACTGAACAGAACCATCAGCGTCATTTCCATTAATGGTATTGGCAAAGAAGGGAAGCTGTGAATGGCAACCTACAACTGTACATACATACAGGAGGGATGCCAAGACTGATTAATTTACTTGCTGAGAAAATCAGCTTACAATTAAGACAACACTGTTCTTTATTTATGCAAATTTCTAGTTTCTAATACTGACTAACAACATGGAAAAAAAATTAATGGAAGTGGCAAAAACACGCTACAGAACAAGAACAGTTTGTAGCAAGACTTAAAATAACATCAGCATCACTGTATGGAAAATAAATGAGCCACTTGGTAAAGAACACAGCTGCAAGTGGAGGGCTACTCTCAGAAGAGGAACCTTCAAGACCAGCATAGGAATGAAAAGCACCATCTTATGGTGCTTTGTGTAAAGGAGACGTTCACAAGACAGTTTTGCCAACTTCATAATTCCATTTTCCACATTCTCTTTATTCCAGGAACACTTAAGGATTCCAACAAAATCCCCTATTACCCAAAGAATCAATCTTTTAAGACAGATTCATTCCCTAAAGACAGTTTTAACTAATTAGGGAAACGGCAGCCTCACTTGCTCTTATATGAAGGTCACTTTAGGTCAAGTAATCAAATTATAACAGCCAGCATATTTAAACCTGGGCACAAACAGATTTAACTTGGTTTAGGTCCTGTTGGTTTAACTTGCATCCATTTAAATTGATTTTAGCTGGTACCATTTACTAATGCAGAGCTATGGAGAATACAGCAAAAGGCACAGCCACAAACAGATCATGCACTCATTCTTAGCTTGCTTCAACTGCAAAAAAAATGCATTAGCTTAACCTAGCATCCCTTGATCAGATCTTATGATCTTATGATCTCATAAGCCCTTATGAGATGCTTATATCTTGCCCTTGACCTTTTCACTGAAATAGATAGGGAACAGGTTTAGGGGTAACAAGCACTCCACGCATAGATAAATGTTTCCTGCTGCATCTGTGACTGCTTAGAAAGTTGATGACTCCGCAGGCAAGGAGAGCCACAGGCCCATGTCCTCCACCCCTCTCATGCCATTCAGCATGGATCTAAGAAACAGGAACCATCAGTCTTAACACCCATGCTGGATGATACCGACACAAAATTTTAGTCTTTCACGGGGCTCAGCTGATGATCACTGTACGTCTCAAGCCACAGTAGCTCAATCACTTCTGAAGTCACTGTAGGCAATACCCAGGGAACTTCTTTTCCCCCCCATTAGGCTGCCATATGGGCATTAACACTCCAACAATAGGAGAGAGCATTAAATGAATTTTCATAGCCCCTTCGATCCCTCATTCACAGAGGTTTAAGGACAGATGAAGGCATTTGAAGAAAGCCTAAATGAGTGGGTTCAGAAGAAAGACTTCTGAGCAGGCTGATGAAGGAGTATTTAATTTGGAACAGCACTTCCAACTTTCAGAATGAAGAATTTCTGCCTGAACTTGCTCTCCCCCTACGTGATCCTGGGGCAACTGCGTTGCTCTAAAAGCACAATGAAAAAGGAGAGCCATGGTTCCCCTTCTCGGCCACACTGACACCCTCCAGCCACACCTTTTGTTACAGAACCACATGGTACCACATACCCCTAAAACACAGGTTGGACGAAATGCTATAAGAGTTCCTCCTTCCCTGCCCACTGCCCCCTCACCCCCACCACCCCAGCTTTAAATAATTCAATTTTTGATGGAATTAAGAAAACCTCAGAAAAGGATTACAATAACACAGTGTGTAACACGCAAAGTTTAATTAGGCACTTTACATTTTTATTTACCTTATCTATATAAGCCGCTTTAGATGTTGAATTTGGAGGCAAGTTTGACTTGTCCAGGTAGAATGCCCTGAAAGAATAAACAGGAATAAGGCAAAAACTGTTAATTGTTTAAACTCCTGAACAAAATGTATGTAAGTGGCTATTCTTATACACCATTTTAAGGTTGGATTTTTTTTTTTTTATTTCATGATGAAAGAGGATTAAGGAATATTACATGGGGAAATAGGCACTAACACCCCTTTAAAGTAATAAGGAACTTTTTTTTGGTCTGGAGACAAAACATGTCCCTCAGCCCTTTGACAGTATGTTGCAAAAAAAATTTCTAGTTAGTAGAAAAACAGGATCTGAAAGTGATTTTCACAAAAGCTATCCATGAGAAGGTTTGTGGCAAGTGTCTAGATTTTAATAGTGACTTTGGGAAACTTGGCATATAAACAGTGCCTGAGCCTCATGCACTATGAGCTTGTTTATATTAGCTGCATATAACTGCGATAATATAAAACCAGAATCGCAAACATGAAACACCGTACTGACAGAGGAAACACACACAAGCTCACAATGTGAAAAGAAACAAAAAAGCAAAAACCCTACAGGGGGCAAATATGCATCATACCAACAAAACAGTATTTGCAGTGTGTGCATTCATGCATATGTGCACAAATAAAAAGCAAACTGCCTTTCTTTACAATTTATGAATGCTTCTTTCAAAAGGAATTAGTGCATGAAAGGGAAAGCCAAAGAAAACTGTCATTTACCTGCGGAGTACAAATGTGATAGATAAACGTGATACAGTAAGTATGCTATCTCTACTGTGTACAAAAGCTCATCAACACACATTCTCCCAGTTCCTTCTATAATCTTTCACTTATCAATGAATAGTACCAGAAAAATTTTCTTAAAAATGGACAAATGCAACATAAGCACACAGAAAGCATGCAACTCTTCTCCTTGTCTCCTCGAACTCAGGAACCCCAGAAGGACTTTTTGCTTTCTACTTTATAAGCAAATGAATTGTTTACCACAGATGAGCTATCATTAAACATTTCACAGGCAGAGGAAATATCTTACATATCTGTGTGATAAGATCACAGTTTCTTTGCCTCTGCAGCACCATTTAAGAAAAAAAAAAAAATGTCCCTGCCCATGGCAGGGGAGTTGGACTAGATGATCTTTGAAAGTCCCTTCCATCCCAAACCAGTCTGTTAATTTTATGATCACAAAACTCAATCCGCTGGTTGAAAAGCTCCTAAAACCTGCTGGGGCAGCTGTAAATAAAAACACCCTGTAGTGTTCAATGCCTCCATGTGGCATCCAGTGAGAACTAGGCAACAGCTACCCCTGCAGCAATTCTGGTCAAGGTCAAAACAAAACAAAACAAAACAAGAAAAACCCCACTGAACCATGGAGCATATAGGAAAAAAACCTAGATATTCCAGTGGAAACTTCAAGGTTTCACTACGACTCAGCTCCAATGCCTGTGCACAAGGGGCAGACCTGATTAAAGGTCACAGCTGAGGCACGACCCAGGCTGGAACTACGGAGTATGGTAACCAAATTTCAACTGCAATAAAATACGAAAATAAACACTGAGAAGAATGCATCCTTGCATCTCAACTCTCAAATGACAGGTTCACCTGAATCCTCCAGTCATGAAAACATTGATTCATATAACATACATGGATATAAATCTCTCTCCCCCCTTTTTTTTCTGGTTTTATCCGTGAGTGAAGTCATTCACAGTTACATACTTGCAGGGCAGGTGTGCAGACTGCAAATTCCAATAGCCTTTTTTTCTTTAGCAATCTGGAATAACTGCACTGGTAAAAAAATCCAGCCACCTTTAATTCTAGTAGATTTTGCTTCCCATGGCTTTGCAGTTTTGAAAAGCATCCTCTCCCAAATTTAAGGTTTGAATTAATCCCCTTAGAAAGCACAGCAAAGCTAATCTAGTTCTGTTATTCCATTAAGCCTGTTGCACGATCCAGAATGTACTCTGTGTCAAAGGAAGCTGGAGCCTATTGGAAGGAAAAGAGGTTTGCAGAGAAAATTACTCATAAATCACTTTGAATGGCCACAGTACATAAAAGCTACCTCAGCAGCAACAGACCAACCTTTTTCTTTGTTAGCAAAGCTAAAAAACAAAGCATCAACCTGACATCCACAGGACATTATCAGACTGAAAGCCTATACTGATTTTACTGCCATGCCACAGGAAAATCTGCTGCATTCAGTGTCTGTTCAGCACTCCCATTTCTCTTTGGACTACTATTTCAGCAAATTCAGCTGCATTAAATGAAACCAGAAACCAAATATAGAAGAGTACACACATTAATGGAGGATATGGAAAATAATAAACTTGGGGTACAAAATGAAGCAACATGGACACTAGAATGGGATATACAATTAGAGGAATTACTCCATTAATTCAGTCAATTATTCATTAACCTAAAGAACAAACAAAAATCAACTATACACAACATTAATTTTAAATATCAAAATATCCTGTTACAAATGAAACTATTCCCCTCCCACACTCAGATAACACTCCCAGATGTTTCTCAAGTGCTTTATTTTTATTGCTTTTCATAAAAACTGTCTTCCGTATTTTACAGAACATGACAAACTGCGGACAGCATATAAATTTCCAAAGCACTTCACTTAATTACTAAATGCTTGTTAAGGTCCTTAATCATATTTTATGGGAAAAGTTAATGGCAATCTTGGCACAGTGCCCAATTTGGACAATATTTTCTAATCCATTTGAAATGAACAAGAATGAAATCACAGTTCTTTGTCTGCAAATGCGATGCTGGTTTTGCTTCCAAAACCCATACAATTTCTATAAGCTGTAGCAGAAAAGCCTTTATTTTAAAAAAAGATATAAAATCCAATAGGCACTAAAACTACAGGGGATTATTGTCATGTTCCACTTTGGAAGACATCCCCTATGTAACAATGTCAAACAATGGGACAAGTTATCTCAGGGAAAAGTTACACCAGAATGAGGCAACGAACATCTTAGGGTTCAAAAAGAAATATCTGTCTTCCCAGCACTTGAGTACAAAGGAGATGCAGAAGCACTGATGTTTTCTTAGTGAAGCATTTTACAGGGTACCCTCTAAAATTGAACTGGACATGTAAAATCCTGAAAATTTGAAATACTGAAAATTGAACACTAAGGACACTCCAAACCTGTAAAGGCACGCTTTCCTGGGTAACTTTGTACATGCACATAATTCAAGCAGAGCCAAGTTTTTAGTCTTACTCTCAGTTTGTTGTTCCAACCCCTCATAGTGTTATCCTAGATGTTGATCATCTTTTCTTTGAAATAAAAGGAGAGTAAAGAAGTGACTAGAGTGTGGGAGAAGGGAGAGGTCAGATAATCGGGTTATGGCCTTAAACAAAGGCAAGTTGGGAGTTCTGCTCTAGAAACATTTACTTTGGTGATTTTATAGCAGATAAGAATTTAGTCTTTTATATTTTCTTTACTGTTGCATACATATAAATAAATTTATACTGCCTTCAAGAAAAGGATGGAAACATATTTTAATTCTACCTGATTTTCAATCCCTGGTCACAAGATATTCAAGATCATGTAGGTAAGCATGGTAAACAACATGGCAAAGGATACATCTGTACAGAGGTGCACTCAGGAACTGTTAGAACTAGTGTCCCTAATTCTATTCTTCAGCTCAAACTACAAAGCACGTATTTATGACATAAACATTCAATTGTTCTGTAGTACAAAGTATTCATTGCAGAAATCCCTGGTCACAAGATATTCAAGATCATGTAGGTAAGCATGGTAAACAACATGGCAAAGGATACATCTGTACAGAGGTGCACATTCAATTGTTCTGTAGTACAAAGTATCCATTGCAGAAAACTATTTGCTGTCACAGCAAACAAATCTAAAAGTGTTTTACATGGTAAGTCTCAATAAATGATAAATTACCAAGTGTAACTACCCTCTCAGCCTACACCAAGACCTAACGATTTTAAATGATGTGTCCTAACATCTATGTCAGTGATACAATCCTATGTACAGTGTAATTAGTAGGCAGAGAAAGGTTTAATTAAAACAAGAGAAAATCTTCATGACAGTATCACGATTTTAAATTCTCAAAGAGCATACAGGGTAATATTCTGACCTTTCACAACTATTGTGCAAACCGAAGTGCAGAACAGAAAATTTTAACACCATGTGGCTTTGAATTTACCATGGGCAATTAATATTTGATGTATAAGCAACCCTCCTTTGTACTTGGCACTGGTGAGGCCGAACCTTGAATACTTTCGGCCCCGCACTACAAGGAAGACATTGAGGTGCTGGAGTGTGTCCAGAGAAGAGCAATGAAGCTGATGAAGGGTCTAGAGAACAAGACTTATGAGGAGGGGCTGAGGGAACTGGGATTGTTTAGTCTAGAGAAAAGGAAGGTGAGGGGAGACCTTATCACTCTCTACAGCTACCTAAAAGGACGTTGTAGCAAGGTGGATGTCAGTCTCTTCTCCCAAGTAACAAGTGATAGGATGAGAGGAAACAGCCTCAAGTTGCACCAGGGGAGGTTTAGATTGGGTATTAGGAAAAGTTTCTTCAGCGAAAGGGTTGTCAAGCACTAGAACAGGCTGCCCAGGGAAGTGACTGAGTCACCATCCCTGGAGGTATTTAAAAGACCTGTAGATGTGGCAGTTGGGGACATGGTTTAGCCGTGGATTTGGCAGTGCTACGTTAACAGTTGGACTTGATGATCTTAAGGGTCTTTTCAAAAACCTAAATGATTCTGTGATTCTAGGATTCCTGGCTTACTCTGGACACAAAGTGACAAAACAGCTTTTGTCAGTCTCTACTGTAACCGTAAGCAAACAGAACTGTGGGAAACAGTGTGGTCTATGGAGAGGAGGATGTGACTGTAAGGTAAGACAAGCAAAATACACAGAAAAAAGAGAATAATTAAATTTAGTTATACACAGAAACACAAGTGAGAAGAAATGTTAAGAAAACTTCAATAAATGAAACTTAAGGGCTTTCTTGGCAACTGTCTGCTTTAGTGAAGTAGACTCGGAGCA